AAAAAAATTACAAAAATGGGACTAACACTGAGATTTGTGGAGAGTAAAACATAGCTACAATAATGGATTACTAAATGTCTGAATCTCCCAAAAGCGAGAAAAAGTTTCAAATTGACGCGTAATGAATAATAAAAATTATAGCTTGTATCGTAGAAGGCTGTAATAAAAGAGTGGTAGAAGTAGAAGACACGGGCTTCTGTTATTTATGTGGCACGTCAGTATCAGATCAGTATTCGGTACTGTCAACGACCTGCTGCAAATGTCATCTATGCCGAGAATGCGTTGAAAAACGTGTGAAAAATGGTCTCCTAAACAGTTGAGTGATTACTTTTCGAAAATTATTTTTAATTCTAATTTGATAAATTAAACCCGTTCTGTCATTTCACTTCACTTCACAATCTAATCTCACTGCTCACTTAGTTTATTTGATTTTGTCTCGAAAATTTATGCACACATTTATGCATATAAATGATTCATAAGTTCATCTGACGATATTTCATTCAAATTACTTCTTTGAAGATTCAGAATTTTTGCTCTTATATATTAATTATGAATAATGCGCAACTATATTATGACAAATAGGGTACTTTTACAAGCCAAATTGAGTATTCTTTACAAGAACTGGATAAAACTTTCATTTTTACAAATGTACTTGAATCAAAATAAATTTTTTCATATTGTGAATTGACTTCTCATGAAAAGTTTTCCTTATTTTTGCTTTTCTGCTGAATTTATGTCCATGCAAATTCCTCCCTTACATATTCAAATGCCTGTAAGTATTGTTTGCTATTATTTTTTGATTTTTAAAAGTTAAAGTTTGGTCTTTCATTTTTGGTTATTTAATTTCTTGAATACTATTTATGCAAATAGTTAGTAAACAACTTTAGTTTATTCTAATGCTTTGGTTTATCATTTATGCATTTTGGTGAATACCAATTATTTCTTTTGTTATCACTTTTAATCATTTTGGATGCTATTAGTTCTGTTAATTTTATCCATTAACGTTAATCAGTTCTACAATCTACTCAAGAGATCTTTCAGAAGAGACACTTAGATGCGCGGATGGAAAGTGCTTGTCAAAGAAAAAAAAAGTGGAAACAGAAGAGGTGAATGAATATTTCAATTCATAGCGCTGACATATGCATATAACAGATAGAATAAAAGTTTTAATACATATTTTGAATTTAAAATGCAAAGAATTATATTCTAAAAGCACAAAATTAAATACTTCAGATAAATTACAAATGTAAAGCGAAAGAAGACTGTAACAGTATCGCACTCAATGGTTTTCCATCGAATTCAGAATGCAGCCATGACATATGCATGGAATGCCTTACTGAAATGATTTGCGAATGTGAAGCTATGGGTTCGTTAGTTGATGAAAAAAATTACTTCAAGTATTAACAAATTACCATAATTAACTGTGGCTATTTTTAATTTCTTATAGTTGCAATCAATGAAATTGACCAGTTGATATGAAATTAGTTTTTAAATATTGTTCGTATTGGATTCACAAAAAAAAGTTATTAAATTGTAATGCCTGATTCACTACGGTACCACTTCTATATATACTTTTTAATCATTTTGTAGGAATAGCACCTATGTGTCCAGTATGTCATCAGTGCTACACAATTGAATCAGTAAAAGCACTACGCACACTTTTTCCAAATAAAACCGAATTTTTCCAAAAGTTTGATTTAGATGACGGAAAAATGGAATTATTATGTAAAGACGAATCTGTGACGGTATCTTTCTTGGCTTATTTTTTAATCCCATATTCCTCTAAGCTATGTTCAAATTAAATTCAAAATTATGGATATCAGCTACGTACTTCAAAGAGACTAATTTTTGATTCCACCAAAATTAATAAATTATCATCCATCATAATTAACCGTCATTACGTATTGAATTTAGACAAATTTAACTTTTTCGCAATGTGATGGTCACTAAAAATTTAGAAAAGTTTTTGAGATTACTTTCGAACAATGTATTATGCAAAATGAATCTTTAAGCATTAAAAATAAATGAATGTTTTTATAACTGTATCATTAAAATCATATAGTATTGCTTAAGACCTCATGTCAAGTTTGTTTAGTTTGTGGATCTTTCGACCGAATTCTGTTTCTCAGCAAGGCGACAAACAATACGTGTTATGACTGACAGTGAATATGATACTGAACGAATACTCATCTTTGATAAACAAGGCACTATTGGTGATTTTATCCGTGAAATACGTAATTTGCTCAAAATACCAGTCTATGAAAAAGTAAGTTAGCATTATTACGTAGTTCTCATTCATACAATTCGAAGTTTTTTCATTGCACTACAAAAAATTTCAAACACAAAATACTGGTTAAGTAAAGTTTTCAAAATTAAAATGATAAACTTCAAAGACTAATTTTTGCTTTAATCACTTTATGAGTTATTTTTTTTAAAGAATGTAATAATAATAAGTCGCATAAGAAATTCTAAATTTAAATGTCTTGATTGTTTTATCATTCATAAATGATTTTCATTAGATTTATGGTTATTTTATCAAACGTGAAGATGTGCTAAAAGATGAAGAAGTAGACGAAGAAATAAACATAAGCAAAGATTCTCTAACGAAATGTATTACTACGCTACGTTTGACACCAAGCTGCGTTATCCGAGTTGATACCACGGGAATTGTGCAAAACAAATCGTTGACAAATTTATAAAAGCCACTTGAATTTGCTGAATGCATAACTTTAATTTTCTCAGTGCTCAAATTTAATTTACAAACCTGGTCTTACATTTTACTGCAATTCTGTAATACTGTACAATATTAATCATCTAAAAGGGCTGAAATTTAAATAGTAAGCACTTTTAAGACTCAAATAATTGTATTTGAATTGATAAACTAATATCAACATCAAGCGCACGCAAACATGCATACAATGCAGAATTACTTAACAATACTTGAATAAATAAATTTTGTGTAGGTACTGGAATTCAATAATTTGATCAAACAAATTGTTATGAATTTTTAGTAGTGAACCAGTTTGTTTTCACACATATACGGTATACTGAATGATAAACGATTAAAGTAATTGGTTATGATGGTCCAATTATGAATTTTATAATAGTAAAATTTGGCAGTGCTGCGTAATATACATAAAGTATATGCACTTCTGCATGCTATAAAAAGACTCATTCAAGAGATAACATTCATTGTCATAGTTTCTCAAGGAACGAGCAGTGCGGTTATTCCGTTCGTCAGCTGCTTTCGGAAATCAGGTTTTAAGAAGTAATCACTGGAAGGAGTTACAATAAAAAATGGTAGAGTGTGCAGATAACAGCGATGGCATGAACATTAGCACCGGCCATTATGTGACCTGGTTAGGTCATTTCCACACTATTTATACTGTACACAAGCCATATACATGGACCGTAAAATCTATGAACCGTATAATTTTTGAAAAATTTGTTCGTTTGGAAAAAACCTTATGCATAATAAAATACTCAAAATTAAAATATGTTTAACTGTAATTAAATAATAAAATGAAAAATAAAACTGAAGTTATTTTAGCAAAACAACAAAATATGTAGTTATGGAAAAAATAGGACAAGGAGGATATGGAGCAGTGTATCGCGTGGAAATAGATCCAACCGACGGTAACCAGTACGCCATGAAAGTTGAGCAAAAATTAGAAAACAGAGAACATTCGAAGCTCAATATGGAGGTCACCACACTTGATCTATTATAGATAGATAGATTGATTGATTGATTGAGCCTTAGCATAACCATTATATCATTAAATATTACTTATGCTGATAATTGTTTTGAAGAAAAAGTTTACTTATAGAATAATCAAAAATCTTTTTTTCAACTAATAATTTTTACAGCTCAAAGGTTACTCAACAATTCATTGATGCAATAATTAAATGTCAAAAAATGTACTCTAAAAAAATTGCTTATTTTAGTTACATTTATTGAAACTGATGTCCAATCAGCCAAATTCACATCACTTCACCAAAATTTTTAACAGAGCAAAGAAAGTTAATTTTTTCTTCATTGTTATGACACTTGTTGGGGAGAGTTTGGCTGAATTGAAACGACGAAAGTCACCGTCTGTTTTCAGGTAATCTAATCCAATAAACTTCTTGATCAAGTTTAAAAATTCCGATCAGTACGATAGTTTTGAATGCTTTTTGCTATATGTCATCAAATTATATCTTCTATTATTAAAGACAGTTTAAATCAGTACCCGCAACGCAAAGATAGTGAATTAGTTTAATTGAAAGAAACTGTGACTGTTAAAAAATTAAGCTCTTTTCAAAATGAACAAACTTTTCAAAGCTTCATGCATTATTGTATATATTAACCTGCAATTTAGCCTTCAACTGAATTCTCGAATGATCTCATTTTTAAAGCGAAAAAAATTAGGTGCATTTCCTGAATGGAATCAAAACGTTTATTTTCAGCTTGGGAACAGCATTCGGGGTTTCAATACAGTGTATGGAAGCACTTGAACAGTTACATAAGGTTCAGTCTGCGACTAAATTTTTCTCACGTTTTTCATGCATCTTTACATTCTAGATCTTTTTTCTAAATATAATCGTCAAATTATTACTTAAAACTGATGTTATTTGATATCTTTTAGAAGCTTAATTTACTACCAGTTCTCAGCTCTCTATTTATATTTTAAATATATTTTTTCCACACGCATACAATCATCTGTTTACAAAATAAGAACTGATGTCTATGAGAAAAATTTTTTGCTGTGATTACATATTTGATAATTTTGTATACTAAGCAAAGTTAATCTAAAACATACATTTTTTTTCGAGTTGTATAGTACTACGTATAGATCAATATGAACATTTGATCACTTAAGGTTGGATTTATACACCGGGACATTAAACCAGGCAACTTTGCCGCTGGTTTGGCACCAAATTCTCATACAGTTTACATTTTGGATTTCGGGATTGCAAGAAAATTCACAAACAGCAAGGGTGACATCAAAGGGCCACGTTGCAAAGTATCATTTTACAAGACTGTAATTTGGACTAAATAAGCAAACACCAAAATACGTAGAATGTTTGATTCGTATAGTATTGTCAAAGTGAATATTTTTAGGTGGCATTCAAAGGTACTATCAGATTCGCTGCATTAGCATGCCATCGAGGAAAAGAATTGGGACCAAAGGATGACTGTGAAAGTTGGCTGTATATGATTGTTGATTACACGAATCCCAGTGGAGTTCCTTGGAAATTTGATAAAGAACGAAAAAGAGTGGAATTACTGAAAGTGGAAGCTCGTTCTCCAGATGGCAGAAAAAAGATGTTTGCAAATGTATCAATCTTAGCTATCTTCTTTAAATTAACACAAAAATTTTACAAGTTATGAATACTGCAGAATAATTTAATTAAGCAAAAAGATTAGAGCAAACTTTTATTTGATAAGAGAGATAAGAGATTATCAAATTACTACAATTATATAATTTTTAAAAAAAACCATTTTTATTCCGAAATTTGAAGCGAAAAGCAAACTGATACCAAGTGCTTCACGCATACAAACAAAATGTGCTTAAATATTTTGATTTTTAATATTTCCAAAATAAGATTGCAATTGCAGTCCACATACTAAAGGAGATGAGCATTTTTAGCTTATCTCTCTGTCACAAACTTCAAAAACTTGTTATGAATCAAAAAATAAAATCAAAAACAGAGTGACATCAGTTAGAATTTAAGAAGAACTGACTTCAAAGATAAAATTCTCATTTCGAATAAATTTACCAGTGTGTAATATTTTGTCAGATGAGTGAAAAAGACATGAGCGATATTCTGGATTACATTGATAAACTCGATTATCAAGATAAAGTAAGTGTTTTAATAACCATTCAAATGACTGTTTTGATTGCCACATCTAACTTCAATGAACTTTTTCTGATATCAAGCAGAAGGTACCTATCGAAAAAAGTCACCTGATAATTAAGCAATTCATTAATTAATACTGAGCGACAACTTTAACTTCGATAAATAATTAAGTGTTTAATTCAATTCATCAGATTTCTATCTACACATGTTAAGACTCGTACAATTTGCTATAATTATCATACGCAAATACTGCATCATTCAGAAAAGCTGTTCATTTACTACTTTGGCTTACCATTAATTTTCTCAATCTACCCTAATACTTTTTCAAAGTTTATTCAAACAGAAACAAGCAACTATGATTACCGCTCAGATTAATTACTAACATCCTCTAATTGCAATTCAGGTAGACTACGATTATTTATATGGCAAGATAAAAATGGCTGCACAATTTTGCAAGGTACGTATCGACGATCCATACGACTGGGAATTACATGACAACGAGGATGAAAGTGCTGGAACTCAAAATACCAAGACTACATCGACCGAAAAAAAAAATTCAAGAAGTGATTGCTAAATCTGATAAATCTAATAATGAATGTTTACTTTAAAAATAATAAAAACTTTAATAATAAAATATTAGTGACGGTAGCAACAAATTCTCACTACCATAAAAATATCCTATAAATACAGAACAACTCAAAATGAAGCTAGTGTGTAAATACAAACGTCCCGACCTTCAAAGTAATAATAGTATGCATAATGATGCTAAATAATTACCAAGGCGGCAAATACAACTAATACATTTTAAATATTAGTCTTAATACTCACTCATACACAATACACCAAGCGATACCGATGATTAGCAACTTCATGCTTCCTAGCAGAAACCATTTATTCACTGGCACAAAAATATATATCTAGAAAAACTTCAACTTGAAAACTGACTTGCAAATCGTTATCCTTCGACGTACTAAGAATGAATATCAAATTATATTCCAATTAAACTGACTTATGCTTAAATCATAAATGCTTTGAGAGTATGCTCATATTTATTTGATGAATTCAACATAAAAATAGAGAACTGATCATTAGAAATATGAGCACAATAATTACCAGATTTCTAATAGCTTAACAAAACCTTACATAATTGAGTAATGGCTATTTTAGACATTACACTTCAAAAAAACGAGAAGAGCTATTCCATGAGATCACTTGTTCAGACAATCTTTTAACAATGTAATAATAGGTCTTCCAATTCATTCAAAAAAATAATATCACAAATTGTATATAAGTACGAATGATATAAGAATTTAGTCAAATCTGTCCACATTATTGAAATTTAATTAAAAACAGGCTGTACTGTAGTTAAAAGTCCAGCAAAGAAACTGCCCTTGTACTCATTTTCGTTCTTCATAAAAATTTAACATCTAGTGTATTATAAAAACATTGGAAATTCGTACAACAGCATAAATAAAAATCTTGCAAAATAATGCACAGAACGAAATGAAGGGAATGTTCTGGTCATTATAGTTGCGGTCATTTTTTTTTCAACGATATTTAATATTCAAATATACACCAAACTCATTCTACACGTCCTTTTCTGAAAGTTATCTATCACACTGAATACATCTATCCTCCATTCACATTTAAACAATTTCCATATTGATAACTTTATAATCAGATATCTTCATAGTCATTAATAACATGAATCGCTGATAGAAAATTTATGCCAACTTATAAATAAATTGATTGTAAACACAAAAATACGACCTAAGATTAGATTACTGTACGATGTCAATATATTTTGGCATGAATGAATTTTGCAGTAATACTAATAATTAAATAAAATGTATATTTCGAAGTAGTCTCTTGAGAAATACATTTAAATACAACTAATTTCCTTTTTCGTCAGTTAATTTGATCGCACAAAATTCCTACAAACATCAGAAATTACAAAAAAACAAAAACTCTACTTCGCGAACTTCAAAATTTGTCTTTTTCGAATAATGAACGTATAAATAAATGGTGCAAAACGAGCAATAAACTTCTAAATGCAAAAATTTCTGATCAATCAAAGTAAAACTTACTGCAATAATATACGAGGAAAAATTCATACTGTTTACTTTATCTAATTTTTCGCTTTAAGAAAGCAACTCTTCTAAAAAAATAATTACCTGACTACAACAGTAAGTTTTCCATTTAAAAGATATTTCATCCAATCACAGAAGTTTCACTCGATCTATGATTCAAAGTCATTACTCATAATTACTAAACCTATCTGCAGCTGTTTTAGAGCATTGTATGTCTAAGTCGCAGAGATGTCATGGGCTTCCACTGATATTGATTTCAATTTATAAATGTGACTGTATGATTAGCTATGTATTTATATACAGAAAAAAAATCACGACAGTGTTATTCTGAGTGTTTGTACACATTTAAAATGTTTTAAAGCACAAAAATGTTTACGTGCTCATTTTGTAAACGTGACCGTTGCGTATGCATTATGAAGCTCCGTGTATTAGTCAAGTTAACAATTCTTGAATAGGTGTACAAGACCATGAAGATATCAAAGATTGATATGACAATCTAAAAGTACCAGTTAGCGTAGTCTCCATTCACAGCATTGGAAATAAAAAAACGAAAAATAGTAATGTTCATGACTTCAGATTGACATTATGAAAGCTTTACCTCTATTTTTGCTATTATTTAATCATTCTAACGATGACAGCATTAGCAACTGCTTCAGCACTTTAGTTTGCGAAGTCTCGCGTATTTCACCTCCCAAAAACATTTCGTCTACTACCGTGTAGACCTAGAAAAAACAAAGTACTCACAACATTAATATACTGATACAATTCATGGAAAAGTAACTTTTAAATGGATTGATATATTTTACAAAATACGCATTCCAAAATTAGTACATTGAAAATTTTTCTTCTTCACATGAATCTAGTAAGCGTTAATTTACTATGTTCAATTAAATATGAAGCATACCTTGTAAAAGTTGAAGACCAGATCAAGTTCACAAACATTATGAAAATACTCGTTTAAAACTTCCACAAAATTATGAATTGCTTCCAAATAATATAAATTATTGTCTAAGATATCAACACAAATACAAAAATAAAGGCCAGCATAACGTCGGTAAACTATCTTGAAATTCCGAAACTAAAAAATGATACGAATTTAACATTAAACTTATTTATGTATTTTAAGTATGGCTAATAAATTATCTGTAACTAGCTTCTGAAGTTTTGCTACAGAAGACAAAACTTCTTCCGTGGAAATTCGAGCAGATTGGTTTTTACGCAGAAAAAATTTTTCAATGAAATATTGAAAAAAATTTCTGATATTTTAAAAATTAAATTTTATAGCCAATTTTTTGAAATCCTGCTGTGTAGGCAAACAGATTACATAGAATGATGATTCTGCTTGATTCAATTCATATCTAACATCACATCAAGTAACTAAATTGGTATATAACTGACCTCTACAAAATTAGTATGTTTAGCATCTCGTACAGTCACACAAGCATGTACTTCTTCGATTAACTTCTGCTTTTCATCATTATCAAAATTCATGTACCATTTAGCCAAACGAGTCTTGCCTGCACGATTTTGGATCAGAATAAATCTTATCATCACGCAGTAAACAAGCAAAGTTCACTGGTAATTATCAGTCAGAGTTATCAATGATAATTTACAATAGTATATCACACTTTCTGCAAGATTAACTTGAAAAAAAACCATTAATACACAAATTTCCTACATCTAATTGTTCTTCATTCACAAAAACAATCAAATATATTTGAAAAAACACGTGAAAGCAATCAGAAAGCTCACTTCAATACATGGAATACGTATTTCAATACATGGAAAATAAATCTTCAATACATGGAAAATAAATCTAAGCTAAACCTTGTTGATTTAACGTGAGCTTTTACGAGACAAATTTCGTCAAAATATGAGCATCAACTACATACAAAGCCGACTTCATTCACGTTTCTCACTGTAATAATGTCCCGACATATTTGTAAATACTGCTTTCAACATTATGCCTTCCTAGAATAGTTCTTTAGATGCAACTATTGCTTCAAACGATGATTGCGGTAAATACACATCTTGATCCCTCCAAAGTTTGCACTAACAATAGTCTACTACTTCACAAAAATTGTAAGTAGGAATCAAGAGGTACTTTACAGCTTTATATTTAAAAACGAAGAAATCCTTATTATTCAACAGAAGAAGCACTGAAGCATCATAGCCTAGTGAATTTGTTGTGAAGACTATTGATATATTTAAATTTTTTAAGTCATACACTGATACTTTTCAACTGTCAGTGCCTACCAAAATTTATACAATTTCGACCAAAGCTTAAATCACTTAAAACTGTAATACAGTTCTAAAGTGAAGTATTTCTTTAATTAAAGAAAACGTAATATTGTAAGAAATGTGAAGCGTTAATTTATTAAGATACTTCTGAGATCAGTTTGCTTTGTTTAGAAAATTCACGCTTGGAAGTATTCGAAAAATATTTGGCTTGTGATAAATGCGCATTTGAAATGTTTTGTTATTAGTTATTAGTAAAAGTGGTTGGAAAATTGTCATCAAATTTAAAAAAGTTAACTAAAGTTCAGAAGCAAAAGTGCTACTGAAAAATGACTTTGATTGGAACTTAAAATGCAGCAATTTTTTACAGTTTTAACTTGTTTTAATTTAGAATGAACGTTTGATTTATTTTTAAGAACAATTATCAATTTTAGAAGTAAAATCACTTTTTCTTTATTCAATTCTTAGTTATATCTTCATAACTGATTGAATTGACACTGCCTATCATTCAATATCCATCTTTGATTGCTTCTGGAGTATTTTAAAATTAATTAAATTTTTGTAATTCAAATTCCAAACAAAAAAAATTCAAATGTATTACTACTAGCTGAGAAAAGCATTAATTTTACATTAGTTAAAGTTTTCAATTTTTATTCTACTTTTTTTGCTTTTTTCAAAATTATACTTGAAAAGTATACTTTAGAAATTACTTTTTTCAACATCGTTGACGCGTCATAATTCCGGATCATACGTATACACAAATTTATTCGAATCACACTAAAACTTTTGCAAAAATATTGCCATTGTCAGTGATAAAGTTTAAATTGAAGTAATTATGTTGCAATTTGATGCGTGAAAAGTAATTTAATTCATACTGAACAAAATAAAATTTTTGATAACGACAAATTGTTAATTACTTTAATAATTCAAAATTAGTCTTGAAGATAAAATATTTTGCAGTCTTCTAATGCTTAATTTTGAATAAATACCATCAGAACTTTGATAACATCGTTATCATCATTATCATCACCATCATCGTCATCATATTCACATTCAATATCATCTTGGATTTCAAAGTAATCATTTTCATCCTCTGAATCCTGTGTCTTATCATCTTGTGCTGAAACACTTGAAGTTACTTTTTAAAAACGTACTTGCTATGATATGAATGTACTTAATTCTAATCCACAAATTCTTCTGTACTTCAATAATTTCAGGTATAAGTATTTGTACCGGAGGAAATTTCAGCAGCAGTAGCATCAGTTGTTGCAAATTCCTTCTGCTTTTTCTGAAACATTTCAGTTGTACAAAATTGTTACTATTTAAAGGATAAAATGTAACGTTTACAGTAATTAATTAAAGGATTTATTTGTGATGAACTGACAGTAGTCAGGCACTGTATTTTAATTTTCGGTAAGTTAAAAATATGTTTACTTCAGACAATACTAATTTTAATTGCATTAATCTACTATACTCACAACTGTAATTCAAGTTAGAAGTTACTTACATTAATGCTTTTTTTTAACTACTTTGGTTATTATTTGATGGTTAGCGACCATAATATGAAGCTAACAATGAACAGCTTTTTGTCTGATAATGTGATCTTTGAGTTAATTAGGCGTGAAAGCAACTTTCAGTCGCGTAATAAAATACGTTTACTTCCAAAGAGAGAACTTCCTGCTTGGCATTTATTTCAGACTTTTGATCCTTGGGCATATCTGCTTCACAATTTTTGATAGTGGTGCCAGACTTTGGAGACAGAATCGCTTCAGCTGGAGGCATTTTTTTCCCACGTGCTTCATTCAGTATTATTAGATAATTGAGGTAACTTTTACAAAAACCTGAAAATTATTGCTGATTGATGTGAATGGAAATAATTGAATCGCAAACGTAAGAAATATTTAGGAATTACTCACCAGCGACATCATGAACTGTAAACACTTTCTTGATATAAAGCATTTGAATGATGGCATAATGAGCGTAGATGTACTGGTCCTCAGTTTGAACTGCTCTAGCCCGTTGGTTACGTATAATTTGTAAATATTTTTTAGCATCAGGTACTTTTCCTTTTTTAAGGCTGCTGAAATTTCTAACCTGCTTAAGTAGTTGAGTGGCAGTACATCGCAATTAGCATTGCTACAGATGTGATCACATGACGTCAGTATAAGTCAAAGTATAGTAAAGTGACCTCAACATCATTTCAACCAAAATGAGGGTTCCTGTCCTACCGATCCCTGCTGAACAATGTACAATAACAGGAGTTTTTTGCTGACGTGCACACTTTAGAAGTCGAAATGGAGCCAACGGTGTTTTTGGTACACTTCTGTCAGGCCAAGAAGCCCACTGTTGATGGTACACTGTACGACTTTCATCTTCATCTAAATTCATTATTTGCAATTAATATCTTCCAAGCAGAAATAATTTTTCACGGCGACAGATCACGTGTTCATGTAAAATAAACATGATACAAAATTGTAAAATTAAATAATGTCAAAAAATAAATTGAAATCAAAGCTTACATTCTATTTGCAATTTGGTGATGACAATGCTATTATCAGTTTTATCAATGTTAAGCGATTTGATGCTTAACTTATCAAACTTCATAGTTTGGCCAATACTTCCAGGCCAGTACTGACAACACTTCGGCCTTCGTTTTTCAACTAATTTACAGAGCATTATAATCAGTTTTGTTTTCTCTTGCCAAACCATTCGCCAGAAATCGAATACTGTATGTTCTTGAGGAGCCTGGATGCAATTTTAGCATATTTATTATTTATATGCAAATTAACTCAAATTATTTACTTCATTTTTTGCACCAATAAATCATTTCTTCAATGATTATGAGTCACATTTGAATTACTTACCTGAGTGCAAATAAAACTATTGCTAAGCAGTTTGTGTTTCACCCAATTTGCATGAATAAAATCATTTTTGCAATCTTTAGGCCAAGTAAGTACCACACGTGTACTGTCATAGCACTTTATATCTACAAAATGTTGCATCTCAAAAATACTGTAGTCATCGAGCATAACGTGTAAGTATTTGATTTTATATTATCTTCACTGCTTTACTATGTTTTGTGTTTGAGGTCTTTTTTTCATGTCATGTTTCAGGTTTGTAGTTTTGTAACTTTTGAAAGTGTTTTTTATTATATCAAGAATAAAATGTTGTTTTACTTATATATTGGGCTTGATTTTCAATTTAGTTATGATTAGATACGTAAACTTATTTTTAGATTATTTGAGTGAAATATTTACTTTAGTTTTTTAGTAATACTTTGCTGCACTCGTTAATTTCAAAAAATGTGATTTCAAGTTCAGTCTTGTAAAAATGGCCATTAACTGACTACTTCAGGGACTAATTCGATCAGTCTAAGATTTTCATGCTACAAATGAAACAGAATTTCTTTCTTCGTCTTTCTAATTTTTACTGAAAATATTTAATAATATTTGATTTGTTAATTTTGAACATAAATAATGCTATTGATTATAACCTGAGTAACGACATAAATTTGGATTCGCTTCACAATGCTTAGCTTCTGCTTTTGTTGGATTCACGTCGCCAATTAAATAGAATTCTCTGCGGAGAGCATATACTCCTTCCTTAAGGAATTATTAATCACAAAAAATAAATCATTACAGAAAGCACAAACTTGCAAATAATTATACCTTTGAAAAGTTATTCTGAATTCATAATGGACTGATGGAATGTTTTGAATTGATAAGGTATCATTTAAGTTTAATTTTGTCAAGAATTAAAAGTTAAAATGGGCCAAAAAAAACCTCGGACACATGGACGAGCCAACGACGCATCGTTGCTTTTGCTTCCTCAGAAAATTGTTCCACTTTGATAATACCTTTTGATATTTCTGGAGAAATTTTGCCATCAGAAGCATTCAACGATTTTGTTGGACTCAAAGATGTAGTCGATTGAGGTGAACCTCAAACATAATTGTAGTCAAAATTATGACAATTCAGCAGTTACTAACTTATATTATTACTAATTTATATTATTACTAATTTATATTATTATTTCAAAAGTGAAAAATAAAACAAACACTTTTCATCGACAGTTTTCCAAAACCAAACTTTCATATCATTGCGATGCCTTTAAAATGTGCAAATTTTAGATTAATGTATAAGAACTCTTAAAGAAATTACAAAAATGATTCAGCAGTTATTCTCAAAAAATACAAGAGTCACTTACCATTTAAGTATCTTTTTGCATTTGTTGAGAATCCCAGTAGAATTAGCACGTCTTTTTTCACTTTTTGAATGGGATAACAACTCACTGGAATATGTAGTAGTATCTGTTTGTGTTTCAGTTTTCAGTTTAGAATCATCCGTAATTTGTTGCGTTGAATCTTTGCAGGTATCAGAATTTTTCAGAGCACTACTTAACATTGTTTTAGTTATTGGTATTGCATTCTTCCACCTTTTAACTTTTGCTTTCAGAGATTCCGTGAGTTTAGGCTTTTCATTACTTGTAGGATTCTGTTCACAACCTATATGCTTCAAGTTTTTCTTCTCCTCATCAGTTCTACGCTTCGATTGTAAATCTGGATTATCACTCATATGACATCGATTCTTGCATTCAAATCAACCGATTCCGTTGTAATTTAGTATGAAAATACTGATTTGTTTGTTTCAATCATTTCCATTTATATCAGTATATAATTTGCAAGCAGTAATTTGCATTTTGATGAAAAAGTTAACAAATTGCTCAAAGAAGAAGCAAACTTTAGAAATTACTTATTCATTTATAATTCAACTATTCAGTGCAATATTTGATTTTAAAACTAGTATGAAATCACATGCCTTTCAGTTCATAAAAGCGCCTTCATAAAAGGTAATTGCATTTGAAAATTTTGAATTTTATATAAATTTTGCTTTATATTTTCAAACAAACAACTTTATAAAGCATTTTTTCAAATTCGCAAACAAAGCTAAGTTTAGCTTCAAAAAATTCGCAGGCACTTTCAAGTGCAGAAATTCGAACTAATCATCTTATCATATTTTTCAAAGTTTAGTTATGCTTTTTAGTCCTTATTTAGTTCACTAAATCATAAAATGAACAAAGCTAAAAATTATTCAAATAACTTTCAGGCAGAAATAAACAAGATCAAAATTTTTGATCGCTGATATAGATCAGATCTGTGATAAAAAAAAGTTTCCGGAAGAAACTTCTCAGGTGAACTTGGTGATTGCTCTTACTCCTAAAGCGCAGTTTCCAAATGAGCTGCAAATAACTTTGAGCTTTGTAACTTAGATCAAACTTATCCTAAAGAAACCTTGAAAGAATAATCTGATAGATAGCATCAGATTTTTTGCACATTTTTCGTTTGTTGCAATCAATAAGTGCAAATTTTTGTGACAATCAATTAATTCAGTTGAAAAATATTAATTTCTTTAGCATAGCAAATGAATAAAAATTGGTGTAGCAACAAAATTCTGTTATATTCAACTGGGAAAAGGCTAGTGTTCTAATTTTATTTACTTTTAAAAATTGGCTGCAATAGCTAAAATATAAATTTTACATTTTACGTTAGTAAAATAATAATTTTACGGAAGTATTTCAAATCCTTAAACTCAACTCCTTTAGTGTCACTACTGTAGTCCATCCACTGCTAATTACAAAATTGTCTGCTCACACTTGCTATTATTATTTTTGAGTAAGTATTTTAATTATATTTATTGTCCTTTTTTATTTGTATAAATACAATTTAAAAATTGCCGTAAGCATAATTTTATAACTGTCAGTCTTCTCTTTTTTGCATTACAAAATTGCAAATTTTTCAATGTTTGTAGTTTGTACTTAAATAAATTCAAAAATTGCATTTTCATAAATTTTTTTGGAATTATTTACAACGCAAAACTGTGATTAATTTTGCTAAGTGTATATATTCATTCAAAATTAAACTTTGTAGTAATGTCAATTTCAAAAAAAAGTAAAGTAATGCGCTCAATTTTATTTGCAGTTTTGTTTAACTTTACAACATATTCTGGAATATTTTACTTCTTAAGTAGACAGTTATTGTCTTCTTTAAATTTCAGATCAAAAGCCCACTGAAAAAGTTCTGCATGCTGTTTTTTAGTGAAAATAAACACTCAAAAGCAAAGTAAAATGGCATTAAACAACTGAGCATAGAAATTAAAATATTTTAGCAATTTTTCAAATTCAAAAGTTATGACTCAGTCTAACAATTTTTAACTTTGTCGAATATCTATGTAGCACTTTTGTAATTGCATCGCTAGTTCACATGTAATATCATGAAGTGATCATTCAAATTATTGCCGAAACTGTGTTACAGTAATACGCTAACACTTCTGCTGAAGTGATATATTTGCAACATTTCTATTCCTTCATTGTTTTCCAGTCTTTGGTCATACAAAATTTTCTACAAAAATTTCGAGTTATAATTTAACTGGCAAAAAACTAAAGGTCAAAAGACAAATTTATAATGAATGAGCATTTTTATTGTATAGTTTACCTGAATCACACAATAATGTTATTGCAAGGACAAAACTAATCTGAGAGACACCGGGACAACAATGAGGTTTACATTGCCCTCCCACAATTAATGCTCAAAAAATAATTTCAAATAATACAAATATTTGAAAAATGCCATGGAGGTTAATGATTTTGCTTTCGCTTTGTGATATTTCAAAAAAGAAAGAATATATATATAGCTGAAAAGTTTGCATATTTTATAGTCAAAGTTTTGTTGTAACAGAATATTGAAATAAGTATTGTATGAATAAAAATGAAGAATCATCTTCGTTTTATTTTGGAACAGAATCAAATTATTGCTGTAATTCAGAAGCTCGTTTGCAGTGCTAACAGCATGATGGCAACGGATACTACGCAGAAGATTTGCTGCCTTGAAATTGGATATCCAGGCATTTCTTCAAAATGTTAAAGAGTATGCCATATTCTTCACGTTTAGTGCTGCTTTCCTTCTTGCTTTTCATCTTCTTTACACAGCTTCAATGCAATTTATATTTTCATTCATAATTATTCTTTCTTCTTTACGTTTAAACACAAAAACATTTCTACGCTGACATTTTGCAAGTTAAATTTCTCAAACTTTTCCAATAAACGTATAAAAGCGGCGAATACTATAAATAACTGAATAAAAAATATATACAAATAAATGAATACGTAGATGAATGCAAAAATTACTTAATCTAGTAATGCATTAAAGCAACAAATTAATTACCAATCTATCAACTAATTATTTGATTAATCAATCAATAAATCATTTAATACTACAAGTACCATTTTTTTAATATAGGCATGAACGCAGGAAATAAGTCTTAGAATATAAGTCGGATCGACCAACTAAAATTATCTTCAAATGATAATATTCATACAGTGAAGTTTATGCAAATTATCAGTTCTCTTTCCTAAGCCTAACGATAGCAACAGTTCACTACTGCAATAATCTATCAGTTTAGTACAACTATTTTATGTCAGTCTTGTCTTGTTGCTAATACTTTGCTAATTGCATTCAGAACAACTGCACAAGTGCAGCAAATTAAATAATACATATATAATAGAAATGAAAATTTTTACTGGAGTGCACTTCTATTTTTTAAATTCACAGTGCCAAAGCTTTTACATTTTGGTTACAATTTGGTCGGTTGGTTGTATTCGTTACTTTCACGCTAGCAAACATTTACGCTCGACTCCTCCGTAGATCAAACTTATAGAAACTAATGACCACTCCAATCTATTTGTTTTACTATAGTCTCAAATTTAAAAATTTCCAAGTCTTATTTGAGATGTACAAAATCTTAAATTAACCTTTTTCAAACGTATTTCTAACAAAATAATAGTCCATTTTCCAAGTTGTTATTCATTTTAAGACTATATGAATCATCAAAAAGTATAATTTTTTGAAAATTTTCAACAGATTTGAGAATAAAGCAGTGATGGAACTACTGATAACGGATCGAGAATGGATAATGATAGCAATAACAACAATGATTGTTCTGACAATTATCTTGGCCGGTATTTTATTATTACGCTTTTTGGAGAGCTTGGGGAAGGCTGAAAATGATTTCAAAGAAATACCACAAACTGACTAGAGCTCAAGTAAGTTGAAGAAATTCGAATACTGGATAAACTAGTAAGATATGATTTAAACAACTCCAAATACACCTAAGTCTGTAAAAAAATATCGACTTTATGCATGATAGACTAAATCCTCGCTTTATTAAAACATCAAAGATTTTATGCTGCAAATATTTAAAATAAGGTGATTTGTTGCCAATGAATTTTGTTGTGACAAACTTTTGTGTGAAATTTAGAACGAAATGGCTAATCGGTTCTTGAGGTGGACGAATTGCACCTACTGAGACCTAAAATTAAGGAGTTGAAGGGAAAACCAACTCTAAACCTGATAACTATGCGTTTGATGCATTTAAACAAAACTTAGTAACGATAATTAACTATAATCAAAAATAAATTGTAGAGTACAGTATTGCTGATGTGTCATTATGCATAATGAAACCTTAAAAAAAATTGTCTTTTTGAAAAGGAAATAATACTGAATCGTTAATACCACAAATGATCTTTTACCGTCTTTTTCAATAAATCGGAGAATTTATCAATGGAAAATATTCTTGCACAAAGCACTCAAAAATTATAATAACGAAGACAAACCCTAACAAGCCTACACATTCACAGTAAATTTGAAGCCATTATAGCATGTCTTAAAGTATAATAAGTATGAATTATCTAAACTCAATTTCTTCGTATTAGTAGAAGGAAGGGACGTAAAACAAATATTGTGCTTTAAAAGGCATTAAAATACACATCACGCAAGCTTTTTTATTGTTCTCAAGTTTACAAAAAATTTGGCAAAAATACAAGTGTTTACATCACATAGAGAAGGATGATACACTGTCATAAGACGAAATAGCTACTAAAAATAATTTATAACTTTACAAAACAGTAAGTAGAATGTCAAAAGTTAACATCAAGTTGAGCCCACCACTTTTTAAAAACAACATACTTTTGGCTATTAATATAAATTTAAAGTACCAAGTGATTTCGACTAGTAATAAAACATTAGTAATGATAATACATAATTTAGTATTACTGTTTTAACAGCCAATTATTAAGTACGCTGATGGCTCATTAATTCATGTTTGATGGCTTTTTCATCGATATCAGAGAGGTCGCTAGCTTGAACTTGCATCAAACTCTCCAAACCCAGAGTAGCTTTTAGAGCGCGAACTGAGGATGCATATAACATACGTCTACGAACTGGTGCTTCATCCGGGCAACTATAAGAACAAATAAAGTGTTACTTTGCAAATGTCCGGAAATTTACTGAAACCACAGATTTAGATATATCAAGCATTTGAGGAGAAATAGTAGTTATGAGCGAATACGTCTTTGATACCAAAAATGGAAATTTTTGTTACAATCAAACAATACATTTGAAGTTTGCTCCTTTGCTACAGAGATAAATTTAAATATAAAATCTTCTACATTTTCTGAGGTAAAAGTAAGGTGGGAAAAAATACTCTTAGTCAATGAAATAAAAAATTATTTTTAAAGTCTTTCAAGTTTTAACAGAAAAACAAAAGTGACATCAAAGGCTTTCAAAAGCAAAATATGATCTACTAAAAATATTTACTTAAAATTAAAATATCCCTTTTAAAAGCCGAAATGTTATGAAAAATGTACAGAAAGTAATTTTTAAACTGAGCATCACTTCCACTAATAAAATTAATTTAATGGATAATGTAGCATAAGTTTCTAGACAAATTTATTTTATTTTACGTTACTTAAAAATATTTCAATAGTAAACATTTAAAAAGCTTACTATTGCACGAAAACAACTTTAGTTAAGCGTGACGCAGCATCTGTGCCTTGCCGTTGGATTTGAACTTCTACATCAACAGCAGCATAACGGCACTCTTTGCCATCACCTACACTTTTCCGGATTTCCTACAATTTCGGCTTCTATTTTATTGAATAAAAAAAAAGAAAATTAAGTCACAAGTTTTATTTCACATAGTCTGACTTTGGAAAAATATCATCTTCACTTCGAGGAATCTAAACATTAAGTAGAACTTGTTGAGCGGTAATGAAGCAAATGTAAAAAACACTAAACGAAACTTCGTTTTTTGAGACTTTTTATCAATAATCAAAATATTGAATTTATTCTGGGATAAATAAACGAAAACAAATTCAGTTATTATATGTCATCAATCATCACTACTAAAAAATCAATTTAAAAAAAGTACATTTTCATACCCTAAAATTTTTTTAATATTTAGGATGGTTACAAAGTAAGACAGAAATATACGTGCCAAAAAGTGTCAAACGAATATAAAAAGTAACCTCCACAAATTCTGAATACGGAGCATTCTTGCCGCCAACTTTGTCTACGATAATCGTTGTATCATCATCCGAAATTCTAAATATAATATAAGAATGCTGATGTTTCTGATGTAGCTCATCATAGGCCTTCTTGCAACTTGCATCTACCTTTACGCCTGATGCCTGAAAGTTTCTTCTCTCATGCTAGAAAAGACTAAAACGTGATAGTTTAACCCTTAAAGAGACAATACAGTGTCAGACAAAACTTCCATACCATATATCTCCCACACTTCACAATACCTGAAAACTCCAGTTCGATGAACGGACGGACAGTTATTGTAATATCACAAGCAATACAAAAAAGAAACAACTCGTAAATCACTCTCCCCATCACTTCAATCAAATAAATCCAATTTTTCCAAAGCACTTAGCTCCCCACTACGATGAATAGATTTTTACATATCAGTAAATGAATTGTCAACAGTTACCATTCAAGCAACCAGTCTACAAAATCAATAATTACCAAAATGAACTTGATTTTCCAATTTATAGCTTTGTTTAAAAACTAAACTACCCTAATCGAAAATAGTAAAACTTAACAGTACATAACGTAGTCAAAATTTTCATAATTTTGATCATATATTATATGCGAAAACCTTGTAAATTCTCGGTAACTGTACATGTAATATCAAAAATAGATACTCATCCCTACACTGTACATTCCTTAAAAATGGAGCAAAAATGAAAAAATTTGCTTGCGACATAGAATCCGCAGATATCTTCACTTTGAGTGAAATCAACAACGGAAGGAAACTATAAAATTTATCTCTCAATCAAAAAATTGAAAATCAGCATGAAAACTGTCAAATGCAAAAACTTTTACATAGATCTTTTAAAGAATAGAGTTCTCCTCGCATAAGCTTTCAAGATACATACTACCTTGTGTAATATGAATCAAATGAATAAACTTACAGTTGAAATATATCTCTAGACATAAACACCTTCACATAGCAATAAAGAAAATAGATGGCTTTTTTACTTACTTTGTCGTAAGTTGAAGACCCGTCCGGGATAATGAAAAACCTTTGGTTTTCAAGCTAGGATAAAATAATCTTGTGCCAATTTGTCACAAAAAAATATGGTTTAAAAATAAAAAAATACAACACTTCTATCTTCAAGCAAACTGTGATACGAGCCAGAACCAAAGTTCCGGCAAGGAGATGATCATAAAGTACAATTCTTGCGATGATCTTGCAATAATGTCAGTACCACAGAGAAGCAACATAAAAAATGAAATAATTTGAAAATGATGAGCTTTTTATTAGATGCAATTCAAAACGTTACTCTTCACAATGTTAATTGAGTGTTAGAAATTGCAAATATGAACTACAGGATGCACGATTACAATTGCCACACTCTGGGTTACAAACATTTAGTGAAATACCACACTGACTTTTCATGGGCATCTGCATAAAACAGGAAAGCAAACTTAAAGCACTTATCGGTCACTATATTTTTCAGTAAGCTTTGAAATGAGCTCTTTATGCGACATTTCTGATTCATCAGACACCTGAAATAATTAAGATATGATATTTACTCTCATTTTCAATACAAAGAATATCATTTGTTCTCATTATTTAATGTACTACTGGTATCTGAAACCAGTGGTACATTAAACAACATAACGTCAATATCTACTCCACTCTCGACCATAAATAATATTTAATTTTCAACTTTACACTTTGAAATTACAAATTGTACACTTCCCATCACTCGTCACCAAAAATAACGAACCCAACTACTAAAAAATAAAAAAAAATTCAGTTGTTAACAAAATAAAACTATAACAAATCAATTACTTGAAATTGGATAATTTTTTCAGTTCCAAGTGATGCCTTTATTGCTGACGCTGATGATGCATAAACCATCTTCTTTTTAATCGACGCACCGTCAGGGCATCTACAATAAATTTAATCAGACATGGAAAGAGTAATTATATTTCAATAACTACAGTGCAGAACGCGTAAAGTTTTTGAGACTGTTTTAGTCAAGCAAAAAAAATTTTTGGATGATTTTGGCACTCACCTGGCTAAAGAAGAAATAATAATGAGTGATAACTCTCACTTCAATTGGAATGTTTAACTAACATTTGCAGGAAAACGATTTTATCCATTTTTGAAGTCCCAGCACCAACTCTTGAGCATGTAAATTTGAAATCAAAAACAGCATATCGACAATCTTTGAAGTCATCTGTTCTTTCCCTTATATCTTCCACGAATAATCCAAATGCTTCTTTTGAATTAGTCTCATAATCGTCTCCAGTGAGATTTAAGTCATCTTGTGATACCGCTGCTTCTACAACTACTTCATGATCCTGAAATAATCCAATTCTTTTTTCTAACATAAAAATCTTTCTCATCACTATAAACTTAATTTAAAAATTGAACTTTTAAACATTTTTTAATCGCACTTTTAGTCCGATTCTCATTTTTAACAATACAAAATTAAAAAAATTCCTCACAATGCCAAATGGCTTTTGAAATTTTTTGATGAAACTTGTCTAAACCAAAGGCTCGTCAATAATACCACATAATAACTACATTCGATCTACTTCAATGCTGAAATACTAATGCATTTCCACGAAAAAATAAAGAATATTTCCACATGAAAGATCAATACATACCTCTATTCGGAACAATATATATCTGTATTCTTTGCCATCAGAAAGACGTTGAAAGAATTTCTGAACATCAGGATTAACGCTAACACCAGACGTTGACTAAAACAAAAGTATATAGCCTATCATGAGGAAATTAGATTGGGCAAATAGCATGCTTTTGAAGTAAACACACAAAGTGTTATATCAGTTACATCATCAAAGTCAATGTAATTAAGAATAAATTTTAATGAAGAATATGTGAGATACACTGCAACGCACGCTTGCTAATTTCATGAGTATTTTCCATTTATAAACACCGAAACATCAAGACACATCTTTAATTCATATTTCATATAAATTATAAATTACATGCAAAAACTGCCTACAATATTTATCATTAGCTTCAAAATTTTATGTTCAATAAGCTGACAAATTGTTTTGTCTTCTGAACAAATTTATTTAGTAATGTAAAATTTTACATCATTATTGTCTGCAATAACAGAGTAATTTAAAATGATGACAACAAGGATTTAAATAGTGATAGCATAAAGTGCTAAAAGTTTTAATCTGAAAAAATTTTTTAGGTGGGAATATATTAGATTTTACGAATCTTTCCTCTGCGATCATTGAATGGAGAGATCAGAACAGTTCTTCGTAATTCTCACATTTCTATCCGCCGTCTGAGATTTGTTGTTGCATTTCATTTCATTTCAATCAAATACAGAAATCAAAGAAAAGCAAATGTCTAAGAAATGTTTCGCTTATTCTGCTCGAGAAATCAATGCAGTGTAAGAAAGCTTGAAAGAGACTGCCTGAGACGAAAGTTCTCAAATATCTCTCAAATATATTTAAACGAAAAATACCGACACAACAAAAAACCTTTTTTCTAAAACAAATGCATATGTTTTCTTGAGTGCTATCAATAATTCATAACAAATAATACCATAAGATTCGGGTTTTACGGACGAAATTTTCAATAACAATATATTGCAGCACAAAACCTTGACACTTTTTACAAGCTATTTGTGATATTCTTTATAATACGAAAACAAATCTACGAGCAACTAACCATTATAAAAAATAATGAAGAATTTCTCGAACTGTTGATCTGTCAAGATAAAAAATATAGTATTCCAAATAAGACTCAAATAAATGCCTGAAAATAATAAATATGATTCCTAAAATTTGCTACACTGATTTTCTCTCAGTAAATAGTTCGCAAAATTGAATATACTGATTATTACATTACAATCATGAGTGCTATAAAACAAATGACTCTTGCAGATCACAATCAACATAATATAAAGAGACATGTAGTAGAGTAGATCAAAGTAAGTAGTAAGCAACAAAAATCAGTAAAGTTAATGCGATGAAAATGAAAGAATATCAAAGATTTGATTTTGCATCAAAACAAAACAAAACAAATAGCTGTGAATATAAAAGAGCAAATAAATGTGGAAAGCATTCAACTTTGCTCATTTTTGCCATCTTTACTATTACGGAAATATAGCATAAAACTGTTCAAAAGTAATTACTTCTCAATGACTTTATCCACTACTGCTTTTTACAGTTTTTTTGCAATAATAAGCATATAAAAATACAAAAATCCACTCATTATTATTGCGTTAATATATAAAAGCCAAAAAACAAAACTTTTTTCGTCTTCAGTTGACATTTTATTGAACTGAAATTAATAATAATGACAGCTTTGGTTTCATTTTGTTTTGTACATAACACTAATAGATAGCAAAAATGAAAATCATTTTTTTTGAAAAAAAAAATCACTGATATATTTAGAGACGTTTGAAGCATAACTTCTGCACAAAAATAACTTTTTCTTTAAATAGTGTATTGCTACGAAACAATTCTTTCTAAACTTCTATGTGTTAAACAAAATCAGACCAAGACTGATCTATGCTCTATTCAAAAATTTAGCGAGACTGGCACAGATGCTCTCTCCTAGAATAATAATATAATCAAGGCTGATCTATGATGAGCTTTAAAATTTAACAGATTGATCTCTAATACGTTTTAAGATCTAGCCAAGACTTACCAACATAATGTAAAGTCTAACTCACAATTATAGTATCATTAATTTTGTTGAAACGAGTATGCATGCATGAAGTGATCGCATCACATATCAAAACCGGTTATGTCACCACTATTTAATTACTCATCTGTGTATGTATCTACGTTGGCATCCAGCAATCAACACATAAAGACAATATCAATAAAAACCAATTCGTACTGGGTTGTTCGTATACTTATGCATATGTGTGCATGTGTGTATGTGAGCATTTGAGTAGGAATAAACATTGTTATCGCAGTTGCTCCATTTGCTGCCTCAGCAGTTGCCGCAAATGTCCAAATCCAAATGGCACAGACACGCACGCAAATGCAACACACACATTGGTGGTATTTATAATGCAAATGATGAAAATGCACATACACACACGAACCTACACGTGATTAGTAAACGTGCAACACAATCCTCACCTATATCCATTGACACACACATGAGAGAAGGATAACCATATATGTGCATTAAATACGTGTTTTATCAGAGCCAAGCAAAATAATTAATGTGACAATTAAGTGTGATTGATGACAGTAAAAACGTTTAGTTATGAATGATGATAATAAAGTGATTGAGAAGACAACTTGCATAGGAACAGACGATAAAAAGACTTTTCAAATGCAATACTAACCAACCGTGTAGCCAACCAAGTCAGTCATTTAGTCATTCCCTCACTTACTCATGAAAGCAATCAAGAAGTGAACGTTGGCGTACACATCACAGCAGTCAATAACGCCCACACTAGCAGTTGTTGCCGCTCTATGCTGTCTACACAATTCATCTAAATTTCTTCACGTGACTAACGTGTAATCCTCAGACTTTCTTACGTATGATTTCTCATTTTTCCTAATTATCAACTTTACTCACTTTTGTCTAACACATAAAAAGAGTCAAAATTCCTCTAAGTTATTCTAAACTTTCAATATGCGTAAAAATCATTTTTTTTTAGATCACACACGCATTTTTACACTATTTTTTTGTAAGCTGAGCAAAAATGGGGCAGAATAGAGCGCGATGTATATACTGCAAAAGTACGATATGGATTTATATATTTATATATACAATTTATTTCCAGAAGAATAATCATATGCAATATGCAGTTATCACTGAAGGCTACAACTTGATGACAGTTCTTACTGAGTCGATTAACATAGTGCTAGATTTATTCAGCCATAAAATCATAAATTGCAAAATACTTTTTATACGCATACATCAGAAATCCTTAGAAAATTACAACGTATGGCTCGACCTATTAATATTATTAATAAACATTACTCATATTTATGATTACGGACTGTATTAGTTTGCGATGATAAATATGAGTAATGTTTTTTCAGACTATTCTATTTTTAATAACAACGTCATGTGTCTGATTTCCCACCTAATACCATACTTCTGACTATCATGTCAGAAAAAGTACTGTACTACTCAGCTGCAAGTATTCTATTCTTGATAGTAAATGCCACCCACACACATGCAAGCACATCTATGTGGTCAATGTAGTTAGTAAGATGTGATTAATCTAATTAGTATATATATTAAATTATTCATATTAATTGCAATTCGTTCTTCCAAAACTAAATTAACTATATAAATATATAATTTAATTTTAGAAGAACGAACTGCAGCAAAATTAATTCAGTTCTATGACTCACCGTACATTCTAGAGCTAGAGCACGCATCAATCACGCATTTGCACACAAATTTTTTGCTCACTGATCAATAATACTAATGAAATACATTACATTAACAGTAACAGAGCATACAAATTATCAGTGATAGGCAAGAATAACAATGAAAATGAAAAGAGGATGAAATGAAAAACGAAATGTTAAATATGGAGGAGTAGCAAACAAATATCACTGGAGATCCGATGACAATTACAAACGATATCGAGAAAAACTAGTTTTTCAAACAGTAAAAATGAAAAATGTATGGTAAGAAGAAGAATTGACTAAAGTGTAAGTGCTAAGTGCTAGCAGGCAGATAACACTGCAAATACAGCCAGCCAGCTGTGAGCAGCTGCTGCTAATGCTAAAATTTGTAGTGATATACTCTGAAAACTTGCAAACATTTGGCTCTGTTTAAAAACTTTTCCCAAGTAATTAGTCAGGTTGAGAATGAAATAAATAAATACCACTTAAAATAATCCATTTAAAATAAAATAACTTAAAAGTGAAGACAAGTTTACTTCATGCCATTAACTTATTACTTTCACACTAAGTTTTTTATTATAACCTTAATAATTCAAGCATTAATATTTTACTCTATGCCCTACACTCATGCGGATGCTATACTATTTGCTCAGATTCAGAACTTTCATCAATAACTTCTGCTGTGGAAACTGTTTACTACTACTGGTTTACAGCAATTTTTTCCGTGAAAATGCTTTTGACAAATACACAGTTATTGAATTCATTAACTTGCAAGTAATACTGTCAAAAATTGATATTAGTATAAATTTTACTGACAATTTGTAAGTCATTCCTTTTTTAATAGTCTGTCTTTTCTTTCTTAGCTTATACCCATTAGTAATCCATTGTAATGCTCAAAGTCATTTACAGAGAAGCAAAAAATCCTATCGATAGCAATAGTCTGTTAGCTCATTTGAATATACAAATATGAGGAAACTACTATAATCAGAGTTTATACATGCTAAGCCGCTGCTTTTAGAAAAATTTTAGATAAACAAATGGAAATAGATTTATATCCATCTTCGAATTATGCAGAAATGAAGTAAATTCCTAAAAATCAGTTGGAGAGGTAACAAATTTTCATACTTTATTTTATACTTTCAAGAAACAACCCTACTGAGAGATAACACCGAAAGAGTAAAAAGAAGAAGAGTTGATTGCATAATATAAGCATGATAAGAACTCCAAGACAAATTTTTCACTTGAATAACTGAAAATATACAAAACTTTTAAACGAAAAGTAAAAAACAGTCTCTCTCCACAAATGTATCAAGGATTTCAAGTAATTCATATACAGAGAAGGAGTTACTGCATTAACAATGCTTACTGCACATCAAATTTTTACAAAATTCAAGACAGCTCAAGACCGTCACGTACACTGCATCTCACCAATGACATATGACAGCTTATCCAGTAAAAGAAAGATTTCATCCCCAGGAGACAGCTCAGTAGGTGCTATCACAATACTCAATTATAACTCAAATTTTGATGCCTCTCGAATAGAAAAAGGAATGAATGTACACTACTTTTCAGAATATGTAATTTTGAGACTGATTTCGTCTTCAAAAAAATATTAGTGACCGTGACAACTACAGTACGATGCATTACAGGTTCGAGGTATTTCAAAACTTTATACAAAATTCACAAACAACAAAATGGAAAACAGAAAAAAACTGCCTCTCAAGTAAATTCTAAGTAATGCATAACCATATTTAGAAAGTAGAACACAAGTTACAAGCATAAAATAAGGACTTGTTTGCTTTCAAGACATGTAAATATGATTTTGGAAATAAGCAAAAATTGTACAGTCAAGACATATGTTTTGAATATGTATATGTATATATGTATTTCAAAACAAATGTATTAATAGAAGGCACATGTAATGAAAGACTTCAAATTCATCCCATTCAAATGAAAACTGATACTCTAAAATAACGACAGCATAATAAAGTGCAATGTACTGAAAAGCAAGATTTGTCAGATTTATGATAAAAGTTTGCACTTCATTAAATGAAATAAGAAAAACCCCAAATAGAAAATTGTGACATACTCAAAATTTTGGCAAACTTCTTGAATTCTAGAATAACAGCTTATGATAAATAGTAAAAATTAATTAAGCATCAGTCGGCTGCCCACTGAACAGATGCTCTAAAGCATCTGCTGTATCATTATGTCTCAATACTTTTCTCGACCACAAAATTAACCGAAAAAGATCCTCTAACTTGGGAGCAGATGGTTTTTTGAGAGCTTCCAAAATAGCACTATTTACATCGTTAGCAACCTTTAAACCAAAAAAATTAGCAAAACGATTTGAAAATAAACCATCTTATAAAGTAGCAGCCTCACTGTAACTAGTGAAGGCATGAATAAGACGTAATCTTATTACAGTGTAAAGTTAAAGCCTGCCCAATATAAAAAAGTGCAGAAGTGAAAACTATAATTATAACACTAATCAAAAACGCTTGAGAGGAGAATCAAAGCAACATTTCTCATGGAAAATGAAACAGCCTTGCAAATTTTTACAATATTTATCAACAAAAAAACCAACCATCTGGCGATGACTCATTTCAAGAAGGTACGTGTATGGAGAATCTTCAGGCTTTTCGAAAGCAATCATAGCAAAAGCTTTCTGCATCTCTTGTTCCATTTCAGGATGAGCATCCACTTTTTCAATAATAGATTGTGCGAAAGTAACGGCTTCTTCTACCTTAAATTATTTAATCTACACACTTGAAGCAGTCCTAATAATGAAATACTTTTTTCTTACGAACAAAACAAAATAACACAGCTATAATAATGAGAGGACAGATAACATGAAAATTGCTCATAAGAAAATTTACATAAATATCAATAATTGTTTTCTTAAAATGTATGGCGTTTATGTTGAATGCAACAGATGAAAATGCATTTTATGCAAAAATGCTTTTATTACCAATAAAATCAAATCCAAAAATTTTAAATTACCATCTTATTGCGAATCAGCTCAATAAGATGTTGCTGAAGAAGACGAAGATGAAGAACTGGATTGCGCAGCAATAAATCGGGTACAATTTGAATAACTTTTTCAATAGCACTTTCTATCTGAAAATCTCCGACAATAGGACTTTTTTGAGAAAACAAAAAATGAGTTTCCAAGTTACATTTTGAAGCAATAGTGTAACATTTTACCTTTCTTCACTGATAATATAATAAAAATATTGTATGTTTGCAGTACCCAATTTTTATACATAAAGTGACGTACAATGCTTCAAATATATGCGCAACAAAACGAAACATCTTAAATAAATGAAGTTTCCGTACTGAAACGCATAATGCAAACTGAATGTTACAGAAAACCAAAACTAGAAACAGACTTTTCCTTCGATAATGTCATCACGAATACGCATCCGCTGGTCCAAATTCTCAATTGCATCTGTTGGAAACGGTATACAGGCATCTTCACATAGATATTCTGCCGCTTCTCTGTGACCTTGTGAAATCAGATAATCGAGAACAAGAAATTTCATATGTTTATGCCTGAAAAATAAAACGTTAAAAATAGTTAAGATATTGTAACTGTATAGATATGCTTATTTTTATCAGAAAGCAAACATAATTTAAATGCGTGAAGAAGAATTCATATTCATAAGTAAACACGTGTTAATTTAATGGGTAAATTTTAAATAATGAAGTTGACAAACATTCAGGATGTACAAATAAGGATGTACAATAATAAAAATAAGCACGTAAAATTATGGATATTTCAAATATCAAGATGGAATAATGAGAATGAATTTAAATAACAAAGTTATGCTGTAGCAGATTTGTTACATTGAAAGTTTGTATCATATTTTGCCACATGTCATCAAAAGTGCCAAATGCAGAATAATCGTATTTTGTTAACTTAACTTTGAACGTCATCATTTCTGTATAACCAAATCTTTGAAATTTTAGCAATGGCTAGCTCAATATGACATGCGATTTTAAAAGTTAAAAATCCAATAGTAATTGAAATTGACTAACGGTAACTCATTTGCTTTCATTTCTTTGAACTGATTGTACCATCCACCACCCTGAGCACGATGACTGCCTTCACAAGACTGCTCTATTTTAGGTTCTTCCATAACGAACACTGCAAAATCAATTATGGTTACAAAGATATACAAACAAAACTATTATAATAGTATAGTTTGTGGAATATGTATTAATTTTTTTCTAATGAACAATACATTGCTCTCAGCAAGAACACAAGATCTCTAAGAGAAAATTAACAGTTTTCAAAAAATCTTACGTTTTTCTATATGGATTACGCACTCCATTAAGTAATATCTGATCAATATTCTTATCTTATATAATTACTATTCCCAACTTTCACTAAATCACATCATTTAATCCCTTAAGTAATGTGACAATAATCAACAAAAAATTTCTCATGCAAACTTTTATGAAACTCAAGTTATAATGAACAAAAACATTATCCATGACAATACTTCTCTCGTAAGCTTCGTAATAATGAACACTATGTTCAAGTAAATTTGTGCACAGCATTCGATTTTATAAACTAAACATTCTTTTAAATCAAAATTTCCTGTAATAACAACATTAGTTAAGATCAGCAGAAAGTCGTCCAAACTTTGTTCTAGCATTTAATGAGTAAAATATTTATTCATATTCTTTTGACAATCTGCATCGCAGTAGTCTAGTAATCCTAAGCAAATTTTCTTATCAAGTACTACCTAATTTGTGATATTTGCCACGTGAACTTTTGGACAATCAAACTACTTACTCCACCATCTATCCGAAGGTAATAAGCAATAAACGTTTGTTCCTTTGCAGCCTATGTTACACTCTCTTTTATTGCCTACGAAATGAATGATGGAACTACGTAAACAACTTCATCTGTCTGCTTCACAAATTATGTCTCTGCCCCAAGACACAGCTCTTAACATTATTAATTACTAAATCGAAAACTTACTACTTCTAAAATTATATATGTGTCACTCTAAACATGATTTAAGCATAAATTCGCATGACATTTCTATCGACCACCCTCTCTACATATGCATCATGCGCACACACTTTCGTAGGCATTTATATATATATGTGTGCACACTCTCACACACACACCACCTACTCTCGTAGATATGCACAATTGAGCATACTCGATCTCTACACAACAGTCGATAGCACTAATACAATAAACTGCTTATAGTACAATCATACATTCAATAAATATAAATTAGTATCTGTCAACTGAAGCAATTATGAACGTAATTTTGTCTCATAACTTCACCGCAGTTCTTAAAACAACAGAAATAATTACTTAATACCACTAAAATAAGCCAATATGCGATTTTTATTAAATTTTTATTAATAATTAATAATAGATTTTTATTAATAGATTTTTATTAATATGCGATTTTTGTAAAAGAATATTCGTTTTAATAATGAAGTTCATAAAAATTTTCATATTCACTAATTAAACCATTTCTTTTTGGAGATAATGTAGTGAGGAATCAAATTCCCTTCATTGCGCCCAATTAGTATCATTTTGAGAGGTTGCGAGAACCTCAGCTGCATTGCAAGCGTTCATCCGACAGTTGTTGAGTTTGTTGCAGGACAACGCTCATTGACTATTTTCGCGAAGGATATATTTGTGACGAAAGTCAAATATGTATTGAAATTTACGTGTTAAAAATTAGTTTGCTCAATCATTTGAGTGAAATAATCAATTCTCATTTCTTAAATGATTTCTATTTTATTTTATTCATCGGTGTTGAACATCTCAAATATTATCGTTTTTGAACATAGCTAGCACTCCATACGTGCTAGTCAGCCTTAATTTTAATTAGTAGCTAATCACTTCCAAAGCAATCATTCTGTAAGCTTAGAGAAATATTTTTAGATTTGTTAAGAATACTAAACAGAGTTAGAAATTTGTCCAAGTTAAAATTTTTGTTTTCAGCAAATTCAAGATGTAAGTAAAGGGAAGTAAAATTATCACACTAGAAGCTAACTGATTAATTCATAGAAATTCGCAATAGATTAGATAATAAAATTTCCTTCGCAATACTGCTTGCTATCATTGAAAACTGGCAGTGGCTGCAAAAATATTCAGAAGTAAAAGAAGTGAATGATTGAAAAGATAAATACAAATAAAACTAAATAATTCTGAATTTTTCATGGAATTTTATACGGAAATTTTTTACTGAAAATAATTGGGGAATTTTTATTGAAAATAACTGCAAATATTTTCAGTTTAAAGAAGACACAAATGCGCAAAAAAAAAGAGTTGTATTATTAATAACCATATTTCAGTACACATAATTTGAAGCCTAAGCACGAATATAACGTCTAATAGAGGCAACGAAGAGATCAGAGGCCTAACGCAAATGACGAAGAAACGTTCATCGAATGGTTTCATGTATTTTGCTGATGCTCGTAGATCTTTCTACGAAGAGGAAAACAAAGGAGTGCATTTAACATTAAAGAAGTTGGTAGAACGTGCGACACGTGACTGGAAGATAATGAGTGAGGAAGAGCGTTTGAAATGGCGCGGCGAAAGTCGCCGACGCCGGGATGAAGTATTGCACTGAGTTTCAAATATATTAATCACTTCACATTCTGCATATAATGATTTAATGTAGTCGAAACATGGGTAACGTATCATATTTTCTCTTACTTGGCTGACAGATAAATTTGTTATGGACATCGAATCATCATGAATCAGAAGATTCTGATGTTCCTAAAATTTTGATTTTTCGAATCGGAGTTTTGGAATGGGATGAAAAAATGTTTGACTGTGAGAGTTCACTTCTCTCACTTGTCATTTATTCATACAGAATCATAAATTAAAATATAAGAGAAAAATATAAACTGAAATAACTTTAGACTTGATTCATGATAGGCTAAAGTGTGTAAATTTTAAATACTCTTTATTTAAAAGAAAAAATATATCGCAATAGTAATAAACGAAAAAAAATTAAATGAAAATATGGGAACCATTTTCTCTCGGCCAGTCATCTAATTCTTGCCTTTGTTGGTGTACAACAGCTACTACGACTCGATTTTCCCCAGCTTGAGCTTCGTGATGATTATGACCATTAGCATTACCATTCATATGTCTTGATAATTCCATCTCTAACAGCTGAAATGATTAAGAATTTAAACAATTACAAATTCTTTATGAAAAAAATGCAAATATTCCTTTGCTAAAAAAGTACAAATGAAATTAGCCTTTTAAGGAGAAAATGATGGAAAGATTAGGTAATAGATAGGTTAAAGAATTGCAAGTAAATATTGGAAATGATATTTCGTGCCAAGATAACAGGGCAATCAGAAGGGCATATTTATGATCTTCACAAATTTATTATGCACTAAATGTCAAATAATATGATAAGCAGTGTGATTCTGTGTGTGTAGAAAGTGCCCTGTCATTATTATACAGAATTTAAAAAAATTTATGATATCCTTTCTTTCTAAAACTTTAAACTGCTGAAACCAGTAATTGCTTTTATTTACAAAAAAAAAGCAAATTTTGAACCAAATTTAAAATCAAATATCTTGACTTATTTTTAAAAGTACCACTGATTATGAACGATATTTGATACTGTGCACAAATTTAGTACCAACAAAAAGTCTACCAGATGCAGTCAGTTTCCATAATGAATAAGTCTAAAACACGGCCTCTATCAAAATTGGAACTTTCACTACAGCCCAAGCCATTTTCTTACAAGCTCACGGAATCAAAACGCAAATCACAGCGGCAAAGTATTTATCAAAAACTAGTTTGGAGGGAGAAGGAAAACATGGTTCGAAATTGTATCTATATTAAATACTCAAGTTTTGCTGTAACTTCTAAAAATATAACCCACAAATCTAGGAAGCATAATTATTTGAAAATTACTAAGTATTATTTAGCATTTTTGTCCTCTAAATTATCATTCTAAATTTTTTTAAGCCATTCATATAATAATTCACATTGCTAAAACAAAGTTTTATTATGACATACGATACGGTGTTTATTTATTCTTTTATTATACCACACCCTATGGTATAATAAATGAATAAATAAAATAGATCATATATTAATCAGCATAGAGATTCATTTTTTATCATACAACCTCTGATGGTCAATACTATTTTGAAAATGACGAGAATACGATCTTGACTTAATCTTATAATCCAAAAACTTTTTTTTCTTCAGCAAGTGTTGTTGAAAAAGTTGCTTTTCAAAATTTATATAGAAGCAATAAACTGTAAATTTTTTAAGAGGAATGTTCTTAGTTTTTTGTATTTTTTACGAATTGATAATATAGCACGTTTATCAAAAAAGTTTAATGTAATAATTTTGTTAGACGGAAGTACTCGCAAAGAAGAAATTTGGACTACTGACTGTTCGCCCATACTGCTTATTTGAATCAGATAGTAGCAATGATGAAGTAAACTGCTTACCGGCAGAAATTTGCATATATGTAATGAATCTTAGTGATGGGATCGTTGAAAGCGAACGAATTTTAATTCATCATGATTGTCCTAACAATCATTCACTTTGCCAAATTTTCCAAATTTCAGGTATTGTATCATAAAGATTTGAAAGAAATTTGATGAATCACTTCTGCTATTGGTAACACTAATTCACTTTTGACTTACCAGATACATTTTTGAACTTAAATTAAAATAGACTGCAGCAATTATTGTACAAAGTTTTAATCGTACCTGAGTTTACAAAATTATTATATAGAAGTATCAGAAAAACCAAACCACGTGAATTTGCATCATGCTTGTCTCCGTATAGCTAGCAAAATGAAAGGCTGCTTATCAAATTTGATTTTGGTGCCAGCTTCACAATATCAAAATATGGCTGCTAGCTTGACGTGGATCAAACAAAAACGTGACATGGCTCTGAAAAGTAGTTCTTTTTCATCCAAAAAAAATGAAACCAAAAACGTACAAAAACGTCAAAATTATTGAAAAAGAAGTTATAATCTTGAATTTAGAAACTAGAGTTCAGATTAAAAGTAGAACAAAAGTTGTCATCTCTTATTGAATCAGTAGTTTTCTGAAACCATCAGGAGACACAACGTCGATCCGTAAAGAGCGACTGATGTGTATGGAAGACATGATAGCTGTCATCGGACGTATCTTCGAAATAGATGTTGACGACAGTTCGCGTTGGGAACAAAGTATTTCGTCTAATTTAAGTTTTGCTTGTGACCAACATTGTACTGCACCTAACAAATGCGCAGTAGTTATTGGAAAGTCAGCTTGGTACGTGAAACATGCTTATTCGGATTTACTGATATTTTGTTATCACTGAAAGCACTTTCGAAATTGATGCAAAGAAAATAAGTTCGAAATTAACGCGAGCAAGTTAGTAGAATTAACTTAGTAGTTCACTTTTTTTCCGATATTATCTTTACTTAAATTTTAATTTTGTATCTCACAACAATATTTTAGTGAGCATTTCCTGAACACACTTCGAACTTTAACGGATCGTAATTATCGAATATATGACGAAGGCTTCACTAGAAATGATGATAATACAAAGCATCACATACGTCAAATCACACGTACTAATCGCATGAATCCATTTCAAATGCCACTTTGCCATGAACCGATGAATGTTGCAACCGAGGAATGCAGTAAGAACAGCGACTCTTTTAGTGCGATTCGAACTTGCACACGTACGTTTACTTCGTCAATAAACTGATTCTGAAAATCACTCTAGTAAAACGTACTGAATATTAAATAATGTATTTGCAGCTGATAAAATGCGTTATGTAACAAGGTGGCTGAATTTGCTAGACGTCAATATCACTACATCGGACAACGACAGTACTAGACAAGATTATTTGCAAAAACATTTTTCAGGTATAAGCATAGTGCATATTTCACAATCACATTACGTCATGCAAATTATGTTCACTACACCCACACGAACGTAAACTGTAGTCAAATGTGTTGATGACTGCAGCTTTTAAATGTAAAATGGAAGAATTCTTGAATTCTTACTGAAAGCTTGCAGATGAAACTTTAAAAAAAAACGCTTGCGTTACGGCTGTAATGAAGACGTCAAAAGCTGTAAAAGTGCCGAACAACTTGAGGTTCTCATCGCATCATACCATATAATGAAAATAATTTCAATTCATTATATTCTCATGCAAGCAACTCGATCTAGTTGGCCACTTATTTAAATATTAATTCAATATTATGCAAATAAATATTTATGTTAGAATATTCGAACCTTCTAGAGAGCAAATACCAGCAAAGCAATGACCTGAGCAATTCAACTGTTACATTATACGAACAACATTCTGTAAGATATAATAAATATTGCATCAGCGCATATCATTTTCACGCAGCTGACCTAAAATAGCCTATTTAATTATTAACATATTAGCATATAGATTAAGTCACAAGATGTGTAGTCAGCGTATACAGTTAGACATGCATATAGCAAGGCAAATCATATCAGGTGAGATGGTTAGGCTGAACACAAGATGGAAGTCAATTTATAAAGTAACGCATGACGAATACACATCCAAATGAATCACACTCATTTGCACCAAATGCACGAGTTAGAGATATTCTACGCTACTGCTTTTACGTGTCAAATATAAAGAGATGATGCACAGTTCTTGCAAAATAGTCTACACGTGAATTTTTCCGGTGCTTACGTAAAACTCCTTAAAAAACCGTAAAACTGCACTCTCTTCCACAAAGCAAAGCAAATACCGGTCGATATTTCAGTCCATTTATCTAAGTGATTACAGTCATGACGTATGCCACGGTTAGCACCACCCACGAGACACCGATATTCATTCATCACACTGTAAGAGCAAAGATCAGAAATGCTAGACAAATTTTGCACTTAATAGTGATGTAATGCGTGGCATATGGTCAATCGTTTGAGGACATCTACAGATATTGGAGTGTCTAAAACTTGGGGTTCACGTCTTGCACTTCAGCGTAGGTCGTCAAATTCTGTGCACATGATTATTCAGATCTCCTGCATGCCATCAATGCCATCAATGCCATCATATACTGCCATCATATCCTGCATGTCATCATATACTCGCGCATGCATAAACACAACGTACATTTATATGCGTGTGCGTGAAAAAAGACTTACTTGGCTTTCTGACTCTATTAGTGCATAAAAATGAAAGAAACAAACACGAGAGCAAAATATGCAAATTTCATGATTTCATTTTCGGTTGTTAAATGTCGACAAACATCTAGCACTTTGTTCAAACACGACCGTCTCAAGGGGGATATTCATTGCACTCCTCTCTTGATGCTAATTGATAACTCTGAAGTGCGGCTGGTTAAGGAATGACATTGATTTGTAGATCTAGTAAGACTGGTAAATGAGTATTGTAATAATTTAGTAAGATAACTGTTTTACATTCATTGTCTTATATTGTATTGTTAAAAATGGATTCATTAACATCACTTTTAACAGAATTCAGCTGCTGAACTGTATTTTTTTAATGAATTATTTGCTATTTAGTATTTATGATTTATTGAAATTTATTAAAGGACTAATTATTGATTGAAAAAGTTAATCATTTTTTCCATCCTTAAAATAAATTGTATCTGAAAATTGTCTTGCATATTATCCATTATTATTACGTGTGCAGTGATGGCATATTTTTACATTTTCTGAGCGTGAAAGTCAATTTGTTCAGGAATATTTTTCACAATTTAATTAGCATTTAAAACAGTGACTTCAGAAATTTAGGGTGCATAGCGTCATCACATTTGTATTCAAAACTTTGATTTTTATGAAATTCATGTAAGTTATTGTTACCCCTTTCGAAAATTCCCAATATCTGTAGATGTCTTCAAACGATTGACTTCAGAAATATAAAAACCTGTAACAAATTGAAGCAATTCAAAATTTTCACGATAAAGTGCTTTAAGTTCCACTTTTTCCATTATTCAACACAAAGAAAATCTTTAGAATCCTTAAATTTGCATAAATCATTTTTTTTAACATTTATAATGGACTCTTCCAAGTGAACTTTATTACTGCAATGATGATGTGATTTGGTCCTAGTCGTGCTTTCCTTCTTTGATTTTTGTTAGAAAATTATCAAATCAGAATATTAGACTTCGCTGTGTTTTTGATTGCATTATCTCATTTTTTACCCTACATCAATAATATGCTGATCAGTCCAAAATCTAACGACCGATCATTTAACACAGTACATTTTAAACTTTTCAGTAGGTAGGATTACATGTTTATTGACTGAGTATGCTTCACACTGTTATTCAGGATTGAATCGTTTGCACTTGATGATAACAATTGTCTTTATTGTTTAGAAAAATAATATTTAGAAATTGTGCAACAGGAATCATTCGAAATCGTGAACAGTCGATGAATATGATGGCTATGGATGCTGATATCCGCAAAAGAATGACAAATATGAGTACTCATATCAATCGGGGAGTAAATCCATCCACATTAAATTCTCGACCGCCGCCAAATTTTTCAGTATTTATATTTATCTTAATTTTTTTGCAATAACTGTTTAAGTTCATAAAATTATAAATGCTTACGAGTACAGGATTTTATGATACTTGTTATCCATCTAAAGATTAAAAGTGTTATGAAAATCAAAATTTTGAAAAACTTTGAGTATTTATCAGTTTTCTTCTCTGAAATATGAAAATTCTACTTAACCATTGCAATCAAGTCCACCAAATCAGTTTTATTGTTTCATGTTTTTATGGTGCATTTCAATTTTGCACATTGATATTTGAAGGCACTCCCAGTTCCGAACAGCCCGTTATTACAAATGTCTTCTCGTTTTCCTCAATCGGCTTCACATGGCAGCACATCGAATTCATCTGCGTATATTAGCTCGCTGCGTCACAACTTTTTCCGGTAT